ATGCAGCTTCATCTTCACAAGAGGACTTCACTAAGGCAACCCAGTCTTTAACGTCTGACTTGACTCGGGCAGCCTATACGGCATCCTCCTCCGCACAATCGGGTTTCAATGAGGCAGCCTGGTCTGCACACTAGGATTATGATGTGGCAACCTGTTCTGCACCACAGGACTAACAGCGAAGGGAGGAGGGAGGTAGGGGAGTGACAATGAGAGTGCACGGTGGCTACGTTACAAACCCGAGCCACCCCCTGGGCTTCTCCAGCGGCATGGGGAAAAGGAGTAAAGTGACGACGAGCTGGAGCCCTGACGCGCTGTTCGCTGCATTTTGAATGCAGGGCGACGGCCACCAGATGAAAATCGCGTCCCGAGCAGCGGAAGTGAAACCCACGTCGGTGGTTTGGTCCACAACGTGAACCCTCAAGATCTAGGCTCCTTCCCAAGGACCGGATTCTCATCCTGAATCGTTGCTTGACGGTCCCGGGGCCCAGAAAGGCCACCCAGAGGGCAAAAACTGCCGAAAACCTCTGGTAGAGACACTTCAACGACGACAAACCCTGAGATCCGAGGTCGGGAAAAACTGTGGCATCCTCAAAGATCACGGCCGAAGCCCCGGACCCCAGGTTTCTGCACACCTCGAGACGCTGACCGAGGACACACGAGGCTCCCACGAATCCCACGAGCCCTTTTGGCGAAGTTGGTCTGACGAGGTTGCTCTTTCTTCCTCCAGAGTCCTCTTTCCTTCTGGGAGGAGTACCGTCCCCCTCCCCTCCCTTAGGTTTTTTTTTGTGGTGCGAGCTATTCAGGAGTTTAGCGCCAACCACACTCGACGACAGGCGCGGTGTCGTCTGGATTGCATTCTGAGCCGGGCTTCAAACTGATGGAACGGAGTGCCTGGCAGCTCCCCTCCCTTAGGTTTTGTGGAGCTCCAAGAGAGCCTCCGATGCTTCAAGATGGCCCCCAAGGCGGCCCAAGATGACCGAAGATGCTTCAAGATAGATTCCGACATACCTCGAAACGGCCCGACGAGAGCCACAAGACGATTCCAAGTGCTCTCGAACCCCTGAGGACGCCTCCAAGAGGTCAAGGATCCTCAACGTCTTTTCGGTTCTGATGCGCTTTTAAGGCCTCAGAGAGTGCCTCAAAATGTCCCCACGAGAGCCCCAGGAGGGGCCCAAGAGGCCCCCAAAACGGCCCCGAGAGCGCCCAAGATCGGCCCAAGAGCGCCCCAAAACCGCCCCAAGAGGCGGTCTTGATGGCCCAAGGGGTGGGGGGAGGGAAATCGAGAACCCCCCATCTGTTCATCGATACCCTCCAAGATGGCACCAAAAGGCCCTCCAGGGCTCCCAAGAGGGCCCGATGAGAGCCCCAAGATGGCCCCAAGAACAGCCAAGAGCGCTCCGAGTCCCACGAGGGCCCCAAGAGACGGTTTGCCTCATCATCATCGTCCTCCTCCTCCTCCTCCTCCTCCTCCTCCTCCTCCTCCTCCTCCTCCTCCTCCCCCCGCCCCCCCGCGTGGGCCCCAGGGATGGCCCGAGGAGGCCCTCCAAGGCCACCAATTTGCTTTGCTCCAAGAGATGTCGCTGTTCATCCTGGTTGCTCGCTGTTTTACTATGTGTGCTTCGTTTTCCCTCTTCCCGTCAGCCCTCATGGGCAGGATTTTTGAACGGGCTCGTGGGGATACACAAAGCGTGAAGAATTGCTGCCGAGGTATCTTGTCCCCCTACGATTAGGCCGGGCATGTCCCCCTACAGGCGGATTTGGGACGAACATATGAAGGTACTCAACAATATTCGACAATGGCCAAAGATATTCGAACAATCGTTTTCGGACTGTGTTCATTTTTCTTGAAAGCTCTTCCTGTAGAGGGACACGCCCGACTGAAACCTACCATCCTGTTGCTCCCATCAAACTTAAGGACCACATCCCATATATAATTTCGAACACCCAGGAAAGTGTCGAAAGAATGTCGAAACAGTGTCGGACGAGTGTCTCGCAGAGCCCGATACGTGAAAACCATAGAGTTCCGGTACTTTCTAGCTGCTCGAAATACTTTCTGGTGGCCAAGACTAAAGAAGGTTGGAACATCATACAACTACGAAGGGACCACAAACCAGCTGGGGCAGGCAGAGGGGGCCGCCAAGCGCGCCTGTCGACTCCAGCGACTCCTCCACCGCCCAGCCTATGTCCGAGTAGCGCGCCCCGGGGCGGCAAACAGCCACGCCTCGGCTGGCGGGAGGAGGAGAGGGGGAGAGGAGGAAGAGGAGGAGGAGGAGGAGAAGTGCGCTCATCCCAAGAGAAGAGTCCCTCCCAGCAGAAGCCGCCTGATTCATTTATCACGCACAGCAACTACTCGGGCACGAGCACGCAGGAGCCCCTCAATGTTGGGCCTCTTCCCTGCGTTCCTACAGGTATTATAACATGTGGGAAATAAATCTAACGCCAATGCACAACTGGCCCAGGACCCCAGACCCCCAGGAAAAAGATGAGGGCAGCATCGGCCCCCCCGTCCAAAAATGTATATGCGGGGTCCAGACCAAGAAGCAAATCATGAATTATTGGATCGGAAACAGGGCACCTAACATAGTGGACGACACTGCTACCCCCCATGTTTGAATAACCGAATGCACAACCCGCGGTGCCACGACGGCACCGACGAGTGGCACTCCAGGCATTTCACAGGGTCTTTACAACGCACTGATTACAAAATTCGGGACATGCTTGCCTGACAACCCTAAGCGACTCGTTGTTTGCACCCCTACCTCCCGCGACATCTGCATCCCCCCTGTCCAATACCCAGCCCTCCGTCCCAAGGCCGACCTCACCTGAGGACGCGGATGAACATCCTGAACCACTTTCAATACCAACGCTTGGAAATTCCTCCGCTCCAAGTCTCGAGGAACCTGCGGCACGCTATCCAGGCGATTGGCAGCACGGTGCAAACGGTACATCAAGCTCTCCATGAAAACGTGATCAGCAAAATGAGCGAAAACGAAGCCCTCGCCGTCCAGCATCTAATTCTGATTAGACTATTCAACTATTATCTGATGCATCTTACTCCTCTAGCCGCACGATATCTAGCCGCCATACATATATGTCATACTTGCGGGACCTTCAAATTAAAACCACATTTTTCGAGATCAAAGAATACGTCCCGCGGCACTGCATGGCGGGGACCATTCACAAGCAACTGCGTGCACTTGTCCTCCCGCCTATATGCAGACATCGGTGGCTCAAAGAACAGGGCAACGCATTGCACGACAGACACGGCCAACGTTTTGCATGACGTAATAATTTCGAGAAGCCCCACTCCCAACCCATGTACCTGACGAACTCTCCGCACATAGTTGATCAACGGATCCGTCTACGAACTCACATCTCCTCCCCACCCCATAAACAGCCCCAGGTACGCCCCTTGGACCCTTATCTGAATGCTGGCAAGATCCACCCCAAGCTCCTCAAACCTGCCCCTGACATACTGCTCACGAAGATCCCCCATGGAAACGATCACCGTCTTCGCTCGGTTGAGCAGGAGCCCTGCTGCACGCCCACACTGCTGCGCGATCGCCAGCTACGTGCTCAGAGTGACAAACAGATCCAGCGATCCGTGGAACAAGTCGCCTGCGAAACAGCACACCGCACTCAGCGGCGAGGGAAGCACACAGAAGATCGCCCTCACCACCGGGTCGAATGATATAGCAAAAATGGCCCCAGACGCGGAACACCCCTGCTTAGAGCCCGAGGCGATACGAAATCCAGGGAACCGACATCCCGAGGAAAATCTCAGCATGAACACCGCTGTACAGAGACCGAAGAGCACGGATAATCGAAACAGGGATTTGCATAAACTCCAAAACCCACGAGACCCGCTCGTGATTCAGAGGAGAACGCGGCACGGAAATCGAGCATGATACCCCCTGCCATTCGCTCTCCAAGCCCGCTGCCCCAAATCGCCGGCATCGAATTGGCCTCCAGCACATGATCGCACAGCGAGCGGTTCTGAACAAAGCCCCTGCTGAACAATCCCCGAGATACCATCGAACTCAATATCTCGTTGTCAGTATTCCCAAGACATATCGGCCACACATTCAGGAACTTCGCCCATCGGAATGAACACAGCTCGGCACTCGTTAAAAGCGGAATCCTCGATCTCGCCCCGAAGAAACTCCGGGAACGCCTCAAAAAGGATTTCCATGCCCCCCCATCCTCCAGACCTAAAGTAACAGCTGAAAAAAAAAGGAACACCATCAGGACCAGGGCTAGAGTCACGAGAGCGTTTCATGCTACAACAGAACATTTCGAAATCCGCCACTCAGATAATTGCCCCCGAACGCTTGTGGACGAACCTCTGGGATGGCTTCCTCATCTCAGCGCCCCGTTGATCATTCGCATGAGCACCGCCCCAGTGATTAGCGAACAACTTAGCACTAGCTTCCAAGGAGCCCGCGGCTACCCCGCCAGGCCCTTCAACCGCACCTAATACAATACGCCTGTGACTCGCACGCCAGTCCAAAATGTATCGCGTGAGCTGCTGCACTCGACTAGCCTTAAATTCATCCGAAAGCTGCGGATCATATATATATATATATATATATATATATTTGTTTGGAAAACAACCAAAAAAACGCGAGCCCCCCCCCCCCTCCAAAACTTGAACCGAATATTGCCTCATCTTCTCAATGAACCGCCGATTATCCTTCCAAACCATCCCATCAGCGTCTATAAAACGCGAAGCTCCTCGAACGCTCTCGCAGCTTTCCGAGGGGCGAAGAGGTCGCCCCGAGACATGGCCCTCAGCGCCGCGAAGCACCAGGCCAACTTCTCCTCCGCAGACTTGGGCCCCTCAACTGCACAACCCGATTTTACAACACGGGCGGCCTCATGAAACACCTCCTTCAGCATTTTCAGCTTCCGAACACCAGACGCCGTACCAAGCGCACCCTTCCAAACCTCCAAAACATGGGCCGCAAATTGAAGCCTTTCCACCACCCAGCTCGGAATTATCGCAGTCGATGGGGTACCTCCTGGGTTCAATCGCACGGACAGCGGCGAGCGGTCGCTGGGTCTCGAGATCCGTGACAGGCCACACCACTCCAGGAAAAAAAAGACGCCGAGCGAGAAGACTGCCAATATCCAAGCCGGTGTAAATACGGCCCAGCCTGCTCGCCGAGAGAAGAATATTATGCTGCTGGACGCGGAACGTTGGTTGCAGCTGGGCGAGCTCGCACAGCTGCGGAAAGGCATGATAGAAGTACTGCCCCACTTTGTCTGTCTTTGTGTTCACCACCTCCCCCCGAAGATACAAACGGGAGCCACCCGGCGCTAGGCGATTGAAGTCCCCCAACACCCACGATGCGAACTTGCGCGACAGAAAAAGCGAACGCGATAACCGCCTAATCAATCCATATTTTACTGTTTGTGAGATCAGGGTTAGCGTGGACGTTGCACACCGATATACACCCACGACGACTTCGAAAATTTAACACATGACACCTCCCACTACTGACTACCTTAAGAAACACTCGTGAGGACTGCTGTAAGCAAGTTCTGATGCACAAGAATAGCGGAACCACCAGCAGCTCGATCTGGAGAAAAAGGTCCCCCAAGCTTGATGTCGAGGGAGATCCGCGAGCAGCAACATCAGGTCTTCCTGGTTACCATGGCACTCCTGGAGACATGCAATCTGAGCCTGTTCACAAAGCCTCAGCACCGACGCCCGAATGCGAGCCTGCATTTCTATGTTGCCCTCGATCGAACCGAACAAGGTGTGGCAATTCCACGTGACGATGCGAAAACGCAAAACGGAACCTCCAAAAACTCTGAATTTACATCGCCCCCAGGTTCACAACTATCCCCGTCCGAGCACGACTCAAGCGGCGAAGAGCTTGCGGAAGAGAAGGAAAAGGAACAGCTGCAGTTGATTGACCAGCTTCCAAAGTATCACTTCTGACCGAATTTGTTTGACCATAAACTGGTTGCGGAATCTCCTACTCATTCATAATGCGCACCAATCGATCCACCTCGTCCTGCCCGATGTTGAGGGCGAGCAACTCAGGAGTAGCCGTCACGATCATACGACCAAGGGGGTCGATGTTGCCTCGAAAGAGAATCCAAATGTCGTCGTCTTTGATGAAGTAGCACTCGGTGCGGTATCCTTTCGTTCCCATGCGGACACCTGGCGTCCACATCCCCTTGCGGGTGAAGATCTCCTTCATCGGAAACCAAGCGCGTCCCATCTGTCTCTGCCTCGACCTTACATAACCAGGAAGTTCAGCCCACACACGAATATCATGCCACAGTTTGTCTCGACGGTCCTGCCAGCGCATCGGGTGTTCCAACATGAAATCGTGGAATTCCGTCGCGATATGTACAGAAGAGAAATGAACGCTGTAGCTCTGGCTTATTATTGCAAATTTCGTTCCCATGTCCTCCGCAATGTGCTGCTGAACATGACGCCGCAAAGCGTCCTGAAAATGATCTTGCCGAGCGGCCATCAATAACGGTCTAGGGAAGTCACCGATCCACCTACTGCGGTCCTCAGGCTCATCTGCTTGGACCGATCCACCACTTGCAGCTGGGGCATTCCCAACATACTTCGTAGGCCGAGAACCCGCCGAGGAACCCGCCGCCGTACTCTTACATGCGTAAACTTCCCCCTTCAACTCACCCACTGCCTGGCCCATCTGCGTCAAGTTCTTGTTCACACTCTCGGTGAACTTGTTGAACTGGACCTCGAACATGGCAGCAACTCCAGCGTCACCCTGAGAGGAGCCCTGCGGCAGAGCTGCCAGCAGAGTTTCGATGCCGACGACCTTGGCCGCAAGGAGTGCGATCTGACCCACCTCCCTCGTCAAACCCGCCTGCTGATCGGAGAGTACCTTCATACGTTCCTCCATCCCACGGCTGGCAGCTGTATTCTCCTCCAACGCCTTCGCCATCCGTTCGAGCACAAACATTTCGCCCACTGTGGTCGCATCATCGCCCATCGCACTGCCGCGAGAGCGAGACACTTCAGAGAGGGAAATGGGGACTGTCCCCGCAAAACCGCTCGAGCCAGCCTCGTTGGCTGCAAACAAGCTCTAGCCCCCAAGGCCAGGGTTAGAACTTGAGCCAAAATGGCTACGGAAGGAGGAGAAGGAGGAGGGGGGGGGGGAGGAAGAGGGGGAGGAGGAGGAGAAGGAGGAGAAGGAGAGGAGGAGGAGGAGGAGGAGGAGGAGGAGGAGGAGGAGGAGGGGGGGGAGGGAGAGGAGGAGGAGGAGGAGGAGGAGGAGGAGGAGGAGGAGGAGGAGGCGGAGGAGGAGGAGGAGGGAGGAGGAGGGAGGAGGAGGGAGGAGGAGGAGGAGGAGGAGGAGGAGGAGAGGAGGAGGAGGAGGAAAAGGAAGGAGGGAAGGAAGGAGGGGAAGGAAGGACACAAAGGAAAGTCGGGAGGGAGAGAGGGGGCAGGAACGGGGGGAGGGGAGGGAGGGAGGAAGGCGCGCGCGCCTATTCCTTGGCCTGTCAGTGCCGATCCCCCCGGTCGCTCGCGAGGAGGGGCCCGCTCCAGTGCCAGGTGTAGGTGTATGGCTGGTGCCCGTGGTAGGTGTATGGCTGGCGCCCTCCGAATCCAGAGTGCTCTCTCGGCGACTTCGAAGGGAGTGGCTTGCAAAGGGTGTGGCCTGCAACTCGCACCCTGGGCGGCGGGCGGGGTCATCGACAGAGTTCTCCGTCGCGCCGCGAGGAGACCTGACACGAGGAACACGGTGCCCCCCAAGCCTCAACCGACCCAGACCCCCGACGTCGTGATTTTGTTCACACCGTCGACCCTTCCCCGGGACTAGTTTTTCGTCCCAGGCCGCTTTTCGACGGTCCCGGGACCTAGTAAGGGCCCCTGGAGGCGGAACCTGGCTGGAAAATAGAAAACAAAGCAAAAACAAAAAAGCAACGCGAGGGGGGTCCGGGACCGACGCAGATCGCAAGGCACACCCCAGCGCCATCGCACCCTTTGTGACTACCTACCAGACCACTCCAACCCAACCCGAAGACCCGAATTTGACCCGAACTTCGAGCTGGGGGGGGTTCGGGTTCCATGTGTTTTTTCAACGTTCCCCGACCCCCCCCAACCAGAAATGGACGGCAAATTGAAGCCTTCGGGTTGTGTTGGGGTGGTTTGGTGGGTGGTGACTTTGTAGCCGCCGACTCTCCACGAGCGACGGGTGCGGGTGCGTCCCCGCGCGCCCGCGCCTGCCATCAGGGCCTCGTAGGCGGCCCTCGCCAGCGCCCCGGCGCGCCCATCCGGGCAGGCGGCGTCCGCGCCCGGGAGGCCGGCGCGTCGGACACGAGCAGCGCCCCAGACCCCATCGAGTCATGAAGAATCCTCCTCCTCCTCCTCCTCCTCCTCCTCCTCCCTCCTCCTCCTCTCTCCTCCTCCTCCTCCTCCTCCTCCTCCCTCCTCCTCCTCCCCCCCCCCCTCCTCCTCCTCCTCCTCCCCCTCCCCCTCCTCCTCCTCCTCCTCCCCCGCCCCCTCAGGAGGGTTCTCGCCATGTTGGACCTCCCGGGGCCCTCAAGCGGGCCTCGGGACCTTCAGAAGACGGCTCGGGATGAAAGGCCGATCCCGGGGAACGGGTCGAGGCCTCAAAGGGTCGACGCCATGAAGAAATCATGGCGTCGGGGGTATGGGTCAGACGTGAGGCCGAGAGGCGACCGATCCCCGGGAGGGGGGCCAGACCTCGAGAAGGTCCACGACGTCGATGTATGGGTCCTCCTAGTGTATTCCTCATCCTCTTCCTCCTCCTCCTCCTCCTCCTCCTCCTCCTCCTCCTCCTCCTCCGCCTCCCCCTCCTTCTCCTCCTCTGCCTCCTCCTCCTCCTCGACCTCTGCTTTGGGGAACCACGTCGTGGAGCATCAAACAAAAAAACACACGCAACACGATAATCAGGATGCATCTAGCAACAGAACGCGTAACACACCTTCAAACAACAGACTAATGAGACAGACAACAGAAAATAAACAAAGCAAGCAATCAACGGGGGGCGCTGCGAACGGAAATCGGCCCCACCTCGATATGATCACGGTTGGTCTCAGGTCGAAGGTCCCGAGCCAGGCTGGGCAGAGGGCCAGGCAATCGAGCCTTCTTCACTTGCGTCGGCAACGGAACTGGTTTCACGGTACTCCACATAAAGCGTGTTCACTATAACACAAAGGACATCATCATCATCAACAACAACAGCAGCAGCAGCAACGACAACCAACAACAACAACAACAACAACAACAACAACAACAATCATTTTACCCGAACGCTCAGTGTTCTCCCCAGTGCCAGGGTTTTCATGCGACGCCAGCCAATACCCCCACTTCGTGGGGGGGCAATGCAAGCTCTACCAAACATCCACACGACTCTAGGGAACCACCCACACCCAGCTTCCCGCCCTATGACGTCAGGACACTTCACTTCGTGGCGCGCGGACGATCGTGGATACTACACTGGCGTGGAGTACACACCCGCAGAGGTTGATCACTTGTTTGGGCCCCGCATGTGCCCCGCATCGTGCATTCGTTGCGCATGACATAGAGAGAGCAAGACAGAGAGAGAGAGAGAGCAAGACAGAGAGACAGAGAGAGAGAGAGAGAGAGCAAGACAGAGAGCCAGAGGAGAGAGAGATAGAAAGAGATTCGTCACATGTGCGAGGCAACCTGAGAAGATGTGGTACACGGTACACGTGAGATGGTACGCACTGCCAAGATAGTTGGTCACATTTTTGGGGCAATTTCCTGGGAAGGCGATGAAGCAGAGAAAGAGCGAGATAGATGTGTTCATATGATAGATATGAAGCAGAGAAAGAGCGAGAGACATAGAGAAGGAGAGAGAGGAGTCGGTCACATCTTTAGGGCAACTTCCTGAGGGATGTGGGAGGACACAAGAGAGAAGGTATCGTTGTCCCGATGGTTGTCTCGATGGTTGCCCCGATGGTTGTCCTGATGGTTATGGTTGTCCCGATCGTTTTCCCGATGCTGGTCCAAATGGTTGTCCCGATGGTTGTCCCGATGGTTGTCCCGATGGCTGTCCGTCTGCGATGCAATGTTGTCTGTTTCTGCTGTTATACAGTCCCAAGGATGACGCATGCAATGCTCATACTTTCTCCTGCTTTCGCAAACAGGTCCAGTCACACTATGAATATACACGAAGCATACTAAGGCGACTCGTCCTCTGCGACGTCGCGAATACGCTTGGGTACACGGCTGCCTGGCTGATGCAGGTGCGGGCCGAGCTGATACCCGTGCGCTCCCAAATGGCCAATGATATTGCCGATACGCCTGCTGGCGGGAGAGCCGGGGCTCGCATACGGCAGTGCGAACGCAACCAATAGGAGGGCGTTTTATTCTCGGCGGCCGAGGGCGCAACCTATGGCGCAACCGCAAGGGATTCTGGCCCCTGGCAGGCGCGCGAACCCCGTTGCAAGAGCGTGCGAAAGTAGCTCGCGCGAGCTCATGTAACATAAATGTTGGAAAACCATTGGTTTTTTGAGGATTCGGACAGCGCGCGCGGGTGGAAATTTTGAAAAGTCGTGCAGCTGTTTTTCGAGGACCTACGGTGCGATTCGTGTGATTTTATGATGCGCGGTGGTAAAATTCTTAAAAACCCAATGGTTTTTGTAGATTTCGGCGTGCGCGCGCGAAGAAAAAACGAATGTGTCCCGCATGGTATTATTTGACAGGGATGATGGCCCTGGCAGGTGCGCAACCGTTGTCGCAGAAGTTCGAAAAAGTTGCTCGCAAAAGCCCGTTTGACAAAATTGTTTAAAAAGTGTTGGTTTTCCTACGAATCCGCAAGAGCGCGCGGGATGAGATTTTGACAATTTTTTATTTAAAAAACCATTGGGTTTTTGATGTTTTTATGTTGAAATCGTCCAAATATCCTTACAATGTCGACAAGGGATTCTTCATTTGCAAGAAAACCACCCAACCCCCAGAAGCTTTCGCCTGCGGCCTAGGTGAGGGGGGTCGTTGGGACACTTTCAACTTCGTGGCGTGCGGACGACCGTGGCTACTACACTGGCGTGGGGTACACACCCACAGAACTTGGTCACTTATTCGGGGCGCGCGTGTGCCCAGCATCCTGCAATTGTGACATACAATACATGACACAGACAGACAGAGAGAGAGACAGAGAGCAGACAGAGAGAGAGACAGAGAGAGCGGAGTTGGTCACATTTTTGGGGCAAGTTCCTGAGATCGTCGTGTTTTTTGTTGGTCTTGCGCGCGCGAATGTCCACTTTACTTTTTTTTGCAAGGGAGTATTGAAATTTGATTATGTTAGAACAAGAAAAAGTAGCTCGCGCGAGCTCATGTAACATAAATGTTGAAAAACCATTGGTTTTGTGGGAGTCGGACAGCGCGCGCGGGATGAAATTTGGACATTTTTTTTTGAAAAACCATTGGGTTTTTGATGTTTTTATGTTGAAATCGTTACGAAACCTAAGGTTCTGGAAGGATTTCGTCTTGCGCGCGCGAATGTCCACTTTACCTTATTTTTTGCAAGGGATTATTGAAATTTGATTATGTTAGAACAAGAAAAAGTAGCTCGCGCGAGCTCATGTAACATAAATGTTGAAAAACCATTGGTTTTGTGGGATTCGGACAGCGCGCGCGGAAGGACATTTTGACAATTTTTTCTTAAAAAACCATTGGGTTTTTGATGTTTTTATGTTAAAATCGCTACGAAACCTAAGGTTTTGGAAGGATTTCGTCTTGCGCGCACGAATGTCCACTTTACCTTATTTTTTGCAAGGGATTCTTGCAATTTGATCAAGTAAGAACAAGAATTTTCATTTTATAGTGTTTTTTGCAAGGGAAAACGAGCGTCAACAAAACAACCGGATCCGGACATAATCCACTTTTCTGAAGCTTTCGCGAAAAAATGATGAAAATGTAGCTGCGGCCTAGGTTTTGGAGGGGGGTCGTGCACCAGGGGTCCCAACAATAATTATTCTTTAGAAGTAATAATGTTCAACAACAACAACAACAACAACAACAACAACAACAACAACAACAACAACAACAACAACAACAACAACCATAGTATAAGACTGTTCGCCCTTATCTGATCGAGTGTCCAGTAACGCGTATTTCCC